GTCGGCCATTTTAACACCAAATCAGTTGTAAAGCATTCAAATATTAACTGATTATTAATCATCTACTTACCGCCAATAAATTACAGATCTTCCACGAGACATCATTTGCTTTCAAAAATTGTATAAGGTCACTGCTGCTCATCTTTAACAAATTAATATTGAATTATTTTAGTTAAAATATTTAGCTAGAAACACGAACTGTCTTGTTATCAAAGAAAAACCAAAGCACGCACAGCCTCAGCGAACACAAGATAAAATTTGTTTTTAGCGGTGCCACCTAGCATGTTGCTCATTGGTCAAGAACGCCTGATGTTGTGTGACGTAGCAATTAAAGCTATATCCAGATCAACCACAATGTACCTATGCAATCCACAGTTGTCCACAGTAGTCACTGATCTGATCTCAGACTCAGGGAAAATCCACGAAAACATGATGAATATACTTCGAATTTATAAGCGATAGCCTTTTCAAAATATATATATTGTGGATCATGGAAGATCATGGTGAATTCTCCTGTGATTTTTGTAATTTTGTTTGCCATAAGGCCGAGAGTGATCTTTTCTTTAAACATCTAATTAAATTTCATTCGAACTAGCCGAATTTCATCGTTTACTGTGCCAGTTGTCCTCAGTCTTTTAAGAAGGTCAACAGCCTTCAGAAACACCATTACAGAGAGCACAAAAATGTCGAACACGAGCAGCCTTTTGGTGCAGATGCTTATGGTGAAGATAACCCAGGAGGCGAGGAGATATATGACCATGATATAGCCCAGAAAGAATTCCAACATCATGTTGCCAAATTCCTGCTTGGTGCGAGGGAGCAGGCAAAGTTGACCCAAACAGCACTAGATATGGTGAAAGACTCAACAAAAAAAACTTATCAGAATACTTCGATATTGTAAAGAAATCTCTCTCAGCTAAACTAAATGAATCTATAGGCGAAGAATTTCAATTTACTTGTGACATGGATGAATTTTTGATGGGTTGGATTCAGAATATGAACAGAGAGCTTATTACATGCAGAATTTTAACCTGGTTGTAAGTTTTATAACTTTATTCTGTATTTTAACTTTATGCAATATTGTTATACTCTCTTAGGGCCTGTATATTTGATCTTGGCTAAGGTGAGACTGATGATCTTACCCAACTTACCCAGAACTTACCCAAGTGGGATGGTGTGTTCATATGGGTAATATAATTGATGGATGAAGTCATTCAAGTTTTTGATATTCAGTATATTTTCAGAAAAGGCATTTACACATGCTCCAAAGCAAGTTCATCCCTTGTAGCTGAGATAAGATGTTTATTATACATTGTGCCTGCTGTACGGGATAACTGGGATTCTGACAAAATATATGTGTTTGGTACGAGTAATTTCACATGCCCACTGAGAATTGTTTAAAGTTGGCCTTTATAGGTTTTTCCCAGCAATATGCCCTACTTTATTGCGATATTGATACACTTGAAACAATCAATGTATTAATCTAACCCCATTGCTTTATTATTTTAGTCTGTCTAACACAAGATGATTTTTCTTGTCAAAGGGAGGGGCACTCACTGGGTTAAAATTAACCAAGACAATTTTAAGACAGTAAATTTTGCAACTATATTTCACGGTCATTGTGAAGTCAAAAATCTCAGTTGCAATGACTTTGAAATGGATATACAAGCCTTAAAATATCGGTCGGTTACGGACATTGTCTGACCCATTCATGAAATTGTCTGACATAGAGAGGAAACTATCGGACATTCTGTCCGAACTAAGTGAAACTGAGGTTTATTGTTTGTCTGACCCGAATGTATTTGTGTCCGATGGAACTGTAGCTTTGTCCATCGTAAATCAAAATGTACCCTAGCCCAGGAATATGAAAGAAATAAATTATTTAATATTTTCACAACATTTACCAGTCAGAATTAATACATTGTGCTGATATTCATTTGTGTTATTCAGACTTATTTCCAAGTCAAAACTGAACTGAAGGTAACCAGACATATGTGTCTGTAGAGTGATCACACTCGAGACACTGGTTTCAATATTTTGTATTTATTCACAGATATAACACCACGCAAAGCTGACTTACAACATAACTAACTAGATTACAGATTTACCCCTATATTTATATTACCTATTTCTCCACATGTCAATCACTGACATGCAATTAATTACAAGGAATTCTACTGATTGTTTCTCATCACTCAACTGTCCACTAATATGTTACATCACTCCCTCCGTTTTTGGTTCTCATCCCGAGAACTATTTAAACTAATTATATACAATTTATGGATTATAAAGTTTAAGACTGCGAGGTGAGGCAGTTAAGAACTGGTATACCGATCAGGCGGACGAATAATTTGCCTTACCCACTGTAAAGGGCGAGTTTCTGGTGTTGTATTTGACTTCGGAAGAGCAGGTTGAACAACCTCAAAACCTTTGGATTCCCTATCAGGACAAGTCAACTTACCTGGTCCTTTGGGTAGAAAACAGGGTTTTAAATTATTATAATGGGCAACCATAACCTTCCCTAACGCCTGTCCTATCCATCACCTTCCAAACTTCCAATCCTTCGGTCTTTTCAACCAAACTGCCAGACCAGGTTCAAATGCTTTCGACTATTCCTACCATCATATTGCTTAGACTGTCGTGTTTGGGCTGTGGCAAGGTGTTGACGTCCTATTGTGTGAATGACTTTCAGAACATTATGCACACACTGCATACTCAGTTTGGGTCATAGGATTTGCTAAAGGCAGCCCTAATTCAAGTTCAAGTGGGAGTCGAGGTGTTCGCCCAAAAACAACCTCATAGGGGGACATGCCTAATGATAGGGAGACATGCCTAATGACTCATGTGTGCTGGTGTTGTAAGCATATACCACTGAATCCAACCATAAATCCCAATCGCCCTCCCGTTTGGAAGCAAAAGCAGCTAACATGTTTTGAAGTGTTCTATTTTGCCGCTCAACAAGTCCGTCACACTGTGGATGATAAGCTGTTGTACGACGCTTATCAATGCCCATGATGTTGCAAATATTATGCATTAAGTTACTTTCAAAGTTTTGTCCCTGATCAGAGTGGAACACAACGGGCGGGCCCGAAACGAGTAAAAATCATTTTACTGACTAAAATGTCGGCTACGGTGCTAGCTTTTTGATCTTTAGTGGGGAATGCTTCGCACCATTTTGTAAAATGATCCATCATGACGAGAATGTGCTTATTACCCCGTGCGGTTATTGGAAGTGGACCCATGTAGTCCATTGCCCAAAAAGTAAATGGCTCTCGTACTTCGATAGACTGCATCGGGGCTTTCCCCCTGTTGTCAGTGATTTGCGTCGGCAGCAAATCTCACACTTTCTTACAAAGCTTTCCACAGTGGAGGCCATTTTGAGCCCAAAATACCGTAGTCGAACTCGGTGAAGTGTACGTTTAACACCTAAATGCCCAGCCATTGGACTATCATGCACAGCTTTTAAGGCAGGTTCAATTAAAACCCCGGGAATGAGAATCGCATGAGTGGGTAATGAGCCGAGGTTTATGCGAGCGCGTCAATAAACCATCACGAACCGATAACCGATTAAAATTGAACCAAAAACATTTTAAATCAGGATTGGACTTCCAATCAGAAAATGCTGGCTGAGGCATGTTTTTCTCTGTATACTCAATTACTTTAGAAATAGCCGGATCTTGCCTCTGGGCGTCACACAAACTAATGGTTGTGTCGACTGAAATAGCATTTGAAATGTCGCAATCTGAAGTGGTTTGTTGTTCTTGTTTTTCATTGATATGGTGGTGAATTAGGTTTTCCTGATTGCCTAGGGTTGGCAAACAAGAAAGGGCGTCCGCATTGGAATGTAAAGTGCCCTTTCTATATGTAATGTCAAACTGAAATTCTTGCAGATCCATTATCCATCGCGCTAACCTACCAGTTGGTTCCATGCAGAGTTGTAGACTCGAGTCGTGTGACTTGGACTCGAGTCGCAATTTTTGTGACTTGTGACTTGTTAAAGAGACTGATGACTTGACTTGGACAAAATGACTTGTGACTTGACTTGGACTTGCAAGAAATGACTTGTTACCAACGCAAGTCAAACGTAAATATCTAGTGAAAATCAAGTTTTCCAAAGTCTTTGTGTTGATCGATCGATCGTCGTGTTGTACAATTTGGGCAACGACCTTAGTACATATCAATGGCATCGACAGAATTTGTGCCGGCATATTTTCTGACAAAGCGGGGTTTTTTCGCGATTTCGTGGTAAAATTTCTGACATAAAATAACGACGCCATATTTACATATTTTGCCGTTTTGCGTGGGAAAACATGGCCACATGTGGCGATAAAAACAGTGGGACTTTAATTCCAAGAATTGTAACTTTCGGGTATCGTAATTACACTCCTACTGCTTCAAAAAGGACAGCTACTTGCAAACAATGCGGGAGTAATGTTAACGAAGGCCCTAGCACAACGTCTAACTTTGTATGACACTTGAAAAATATCCATGCTGAGCGGTAAGTTTATAATATACAGAATACTTGAATCCCAGTATATAATAGATTAAACGTCACTGGGGGAGTGACATAGATGGCTTTTATTTTGATATCCAATACTCTTGAATTTTCTGGTCCTCACCTGTCAGGAGGTGAGGTATTAAACGGAATGTCCTGCAGTATTAAAGTACTAAATTGACTGATAATTACATGCTGCATATATTGCATACTGTATATAATTGTTTGTGGTCAATATTATACTAACTATTGGTAAATAACTAGCCTTTTATAACATTAAAGATCAACAAATAAAGCAATTCAATGTCAGCAATGATGTATTTTCACTTTTCAATCATCCCTATACAGATATAAGGAGTATCTTGAATAAAAAACTTCAAGGGCTGCAGATACAAGACCAATAACATCCTTTCTTCGAAATCAAGTTGCCGTCTATGATGCATCTCACCCCCGTCAGCGAGCCATCACAGAGGCCATTATTTCTGACCTCATCATTAATTGTGCTATGCCTTTGTCGATAGTTGAAAATGATAGCTTTCGACATTTGTTGAGTGTTCTTGACAACAAATATCAACCAGTAAGCAGAGGGACGGTATCATCCCGTATGGTGCAAAAACAACGAGAGTTCATTAAAAATCAACTTGAACAAAAATCCTGGGTTTTTACAACTGTAGACATATGGTCTGACAGAAAAATGAGAGGTTACCTAGGTGTGACCGCCCATGCAATTGAAGTTGAAAAGCCCAACATCAACCTGAAATCTTATCTATTAAGCTGTAACAGATTTACTGGTTCCCACACAGGAGAGAAGATCAGCACTGCCTTTGAAGCTATCTGTGATGAATATGCTATAAAGAACAAAATTGACTACATACTTAGTGATAATGCTTCTAATATGAAGAGAGCATTTACTGTGTGCTTCCCTGGAAATGATACTGATGATGATGGCCCTGAAGATAGTGATGATGGTGATAATGATGACCTTGATGATGGCAGTTTGTGGGAAGAGCTTGATGAAGATGTTCAACAAGATATAGATCTGGCTTTGACCAGGAACTGTCAAAAGCAACACCTACAATGTTTTTATACACACGCTTCAACTGGTGGTGTCTGATGGGCTAAAGGAAACTAAAACATTAAGGTTAGCCATGGGTAAGGCTAAAACATTGTCCACATTACTACATACGAGCTGCACTTTCAAAGAAGCATTTGAAAATGTTTTTGGTCAAAACAAAGGAATCCCAGCCCTTGTCTGTACAAGGTGGAACTCAACACCACGACAAATTAGTGCTATAACAAGTCTTGGTCATCAAGCATTGTGTAATCTTCTAGAAGATCAAGTGCATAACGAATTAAAGTTCAGCCCAAGGGAGTGGAGCCAGTTGCAAGAACTAGTCGCTATCCTGCAGCCATTCCTTGAAGCAACCAACTTGACACAGGTTGAGAAGGTTGTCACTATCAGCATTGTGTTGCCCAGTATCTTGTCATTGAACCATCATCTTGAGGACTTGTCAAAGAACGTCCGGTATCTGAATGGCCTAGTCAGAGCTCTCAAAAAGTCACTATGGAAGAGAGTCCAAGGAATTTTTGTAACTGTGCACATGATGGAATCAAACCAAGATTGTACAGAGCTACCATTTAGTGATCCTGTTTACCTTTTGTCAGCCATACTTGATCCAGGTTTCTGTATGATGTGGGCTGAACATGATGTGTTGAAAACAGAAGATGTGAAAGAGAAGGTCAAGAAACGTGCAAAAGGTAAAAATCAATTTAATATAATTAATTTCTTAATATTATTAGTCTGTTCTACTAGCTAAGAATATTTTTATTAAAATACTAAAAGTCCAGAGCTTTCGAAGTTCGAACTAAACGTTCATCATCAGGGTAACAAGACTAAATTAAACTAGACAAACTAGAAGTCTTATATGAGTAAATAAATGCAAATAACAGTAAGTTCTATATGAATAAATTATTAAAATTAAGGACTAATCTGTTCTCTTTCAACAATGGCCTAATATGAGTAATATCATCCCAACTAATGCTGTGTCCCGTTTGTTTCACATGACATGCTCATTATCACGTTATATAATGGTACATTTTTCACTTTTCAGCCAAACTGTCTTTTTTGTCATTAATCTATAGACTGTGTCATCTATGAGATCTCCCAGGTCAGCGCAGCTTTGTTACAAGGCGACAATGATCAAAATGATGGTGCAGCAAGTAATACTGATGAAGAACGCGAGGAAGGCGTTGTCGAAAAGAAGGTACCTAGACTTTTTGCAGGGTACGAAAGGAAAAACAAAAGCACTACCAACACATCAGTTGCCTCCCAATTCAACAAGTACTTAGAGTTGTGCCAGCAATTTGATGACAGAAGCCCTAATGCAAGTCTTAACTTTTGGTTGGCTAACAAGAACAACCTCTCCAAAATGTTTCCTGTGGCTCTAAGAGTGCTGCCTGTCCCTGCTTCCAGTTCACCTGTTGAACGCGTATTCAGTCATGGAGGCATAATCATGCGCCCACACAGAGCTAAGCTAAGTGATAAAACACTGTCTAATTTGATATTTTTAAAGTGTAACAGTTTGTACATGAAGTAGAGTTCAAATGTACAATCACAAACTTACAGGCAGATATCTATTTGAAAATATTGACTTGAATTGATATAATGACTTGTGACTTGACTTGACCAAATGACTTGTGACTTGACTTGGACTTGCAGGAAATGACTTGTGACTTGACTTGGACTTGCAGGAAATGACTTGTGACTTGACTTGGACTTGCAACATAGGACTCGTTAACAACTCTGGTTCCATGTTATAAAGCCGACGCAGAGCACTGTGGTCGGTAACAATGTCAAATTTTCTGCCTAAGAGATACACTCGAAAATGTTTAACTCCAAATACAACGGCATAAGCCTCCTTTTCCTTTGCCGAAAATTTGCGCTCTCAAGGCGATAATGCTTTGGAAGCATACGCTACGACATGTTTGCATCCTATGTCGTCACATTGTGAAAGAACGGCACCTAAACCTACATCTGAAGCGTCAGTTTGTAATATAAATGGCAGATCAAAGTGTAGATAACACAGCACTGGAATTTTACATAACATTTCCTTAATTTTAGTGAATGAAGTTTGACATTCATCACACCAATTAAAATGGGCGTTCTTTTTAGTGAGATCGGTTAGAGAAGCCGCTAAGGTAGAAAATCCGACAATAAACCTTCTATAATAACCGGCTAAACCAAGAAAAGTTCTTACATCCTTGACCGAGGCCGGTTGTGGTATATCTCTGACATGGTGAATTTTGAGAGGGTCTGGCTGAATACCACTTTCAGAAATTACACGGCCTAAAAATTTTACCTTTTGAGCAGCAAAAGTACACTTGCTTAATTTTATGCATAGATTGTGTTGACGAAATCTTGAAAGGACTGCACCAGGACGTGTGCAATGTTGTTCAAAATCTTTGGAATAAATTATTACGTCATCAAGATAACACAAACAAATTTCGAATTTAGTCCAGAAAGAATGATATCAATTGCACACGTTGGAATGTTTGAGGTGCCGTAGAAAGACCGAAAGGCATGCGTAAAAATTCGTATATGCCATTTTGAGTTACAAACGCTGTTTTTTGTCTATCTTCCAGCGCCACTGTAATTTGCCAGTAACTGTTTCCGCAGTCTAATGTCGTGAATAATTTAGCGTTTTTCAGTGCATCTAGCATGTCATCAATTTAAGGGAGAGGGTGGCAGTCCCCTTTTGTAATTTGATTTAACTTTCTATAGTCAATGCAGAAACGTTACTGCTCATCCTTTTTGCAAATTAGAACTATTGGAGAAGACCAATGCACTAGAGCTCGGTTGAATGATATTTTGGGCGAGCATATCTGTAATTTGCTGTTTGGCTTCGTCACGATAAGCATATGGCAGTCGCCGCAGGCATTGTTTGATAGGTGGGTGACCCCCCCCCCCCCGTGTTGATCTGGTGTTGTGCAACATCAACATATCCGAGGTCTTCTGAAAAGATGTCGGCAAACTCAAGTAAAATGGAATGGAATTTTACTTTTTCCACTTCTGGAAGGGACGGATCAATGGCATTGAAGATTTCGCTGCCTACCTTAGAAGACTTAGAATTGTCTGAAATTTGAACACCAACCACTTGCCAGCTAGTATGTACAATTAGAAGAATTAGCCCTTTAGTGCACAATGGCAAAAATGCATTTATTTACAATTGTTGTACCTTTTGTGTAGGTTCTGAGCAATGTCAAACTTGCTCAAGAAAAACAGAAAAAACAGTATTAAAAGAGAAAGGCAAAGGGAGTGAAAACCTTTGAAACTGAAGTTGGTGACACAGTTTATAAATGACAGATGAGAAGTGTATCCAGAAAAGGTGGAAAGATGGAACCTGGTTGAATGGGCCCATATAGGTACTAAAATAAATTAATCATTGCATAACAGAAAAACTTTACATGGAACAAACATTCCTGCAGAGCAGCACCGCTACTACTGGGCGACGCGGCAAATTTTTCCCCATAAGCAATCGAAAGCATCCCAAGCAATCGAAAGCATCCCTGCTTGATCCCAGCCCGCTCACATTACGCAGGCCTACGCGGCGGGCGGCAAAAAAGGTTACGTCATGTCAGTCCCATGGCAACGTGCAGCCTTTAATTTCTTGTTGATTTCAAATTTTGAGATTTTTATAACAAGCGTTGTTTTTGCAAGCTTTCTCGTTAAATTATAAATACTAAGACTAAAATATGTCAGCTGAGCAAGTTTTTGGGAGATACAAGTCTCCACGGAAGATCAAGGATTGGAAGAACCAACAGACGAAGGAAACCTCAAGAAACGAGGGAAAAGATACACGACAGGCTACAATTTGTTTATGAAGGAGAATTCTGTAAGTTTGACTTTGATTTTTCTTTGTTATTTTAATACACGTTGTGTGGCAGCCACTGTTTGAATTCATGAGCGTTTCTGAGTTTTTTTGAGTAGGTATGTATAAATACCTTTGACGAAATGTATCTTAAAGTCCTTACTAATATTTTGTCCGAATAGTGGTACTAATATAGTGTCCGAAAACTGGACAAATTCTGTACTTATGGTTAATACTGTCTGACACCTATTCTTATTTAATACAAATTATTGTTTGTAGAGGACTGGCAATGAGCTCCCGGAGACTGGAGAAACAACCCTTGCTACAAATGCTAAGCTAGTAGCAGCAGCTTGGCGAAGAATTGATAGGCACACAAAACAGGTGAGCACTGTTTACTTTAAAGTTTAAAATGGCTCATTATTGAACTGTGTTTTAACCATTAAGCTGCAAGTAGAGTAAAATTGCCTGACATTATATTAGACAGAGAATAAAGTAGGAAGTCAGGGCACACCGAGGCACATTGCCGCTTAATGGGTTAATTAACTAGAGAAATTGGCAAATAGTTTTGTTAACCCATTACTGCGATTTCCAGTTGAGTGTGGAATTGCAAAAGTTTGTTTGTAGAGTGTGTTCGTTAACTTTTGTCATTTGAAAACAATGTTTGTGACATTCTATAATGTTACCAGGCAAGCACACAATGTTGTCAAGTAAAAACCTTTAAAAACTGTCAATCATTACAAAACAAAATAAGTTTCTATTTATATGTTTGCGATGTTACTCTGAGTGCATATCCACACCGGGCGAGCTTGAAAAACATGCCCGGCCACGGTGGGATTCGAACCTACGACCTTTGGAATA